TATTTTGCTATACTAAATGTTTGTGATATGCAGTCGCCTAATATATAAATTTCGAATTGTATAAGTTATTCGGTTACATATATAAGGAACATAAATTATTTATATAAAATCCAATATATACTTTGTTATCTAAGTATATATGTTTAAATAATATGTATATAAATTAGGAAATATTCAAGCAATTCCATATCTAAAAAATTTTCTTTATGTCAAAAATCATTAATTTTTCTATAAATAATTCAACTTATTCGTTAAGGTATTCGCCTTATTTCAGTAGTTTTCAAAAAAAAAAAAAAAAAACAAAATAATTGAAATTTTTTTTTCCAAGGAATGGAATTGATTTCATTCAGTCCTTCCGTCTATATGTCTATACAATCTTTAAAACAAAAAGCTGAAATACATAAATAAATCTTAAAGAAACTTATTTCATTATGAAGATTTTTACAAAAAAGTAGTGAGTGACTTCCTGTATTTTATGGCAGCATAGTCAGAAATTACAATAACAAAATGGTTCTTGAAGTTGTCCATTATCTAAAACCCGTATTTTGTGACATTATTTTTCTTCGAGATTTGGTTGTAGTTGTATAAAATTCCGAAATTTTTTTTTTACACCTTCCTCCTCCTCCAAATTTTCACCTATTGTGAAATTTTGTGGAAATTTTAATACTCGGCATTTTATATTTCCGAAATTGCATACTTTTCCAAATTTCAAGCAAAAAGCTTCTTTAAATTTTTTTTCATCCTAAATGTATGCAATAATTTTATATACATATTTTAGTATATTTGCTTTTTAGAAAAATATTTTCAATTGTTTAAGGGAAAAGTGCTACCTTACAAACCATTGGTTTTGTTTCCATTTTTATATATTGATTTTTGCTATATATATATATATATATATATATATATATATATATATATATATACATAGATAAAATATTCGATACACATGAATACCTCATTCAAAATGTCAATTATTTAATATAAATTGTTATATTATAAAAATGAAAATTTTGAATTGATTCAGTAAACATTAAAACACTGTATCCTTAAATATATACATTATAATGTACAAATATAACCAAGTGTTATGACATAAATTGTTAAAATTTCAAGCTATATATATACGCATATAGTGTCCTATATATAACAATATTTCTGGTTCTATATTATGACGCGTATAGCCAATAATACGAGTACATCTATAAAAATTCATTTATTTTCAACTAAATAAACCTTTATTTAGGTTTATTAAGGTGTAAATAAAGGCTTAAAACATAATTTTTTTTTTTAAAATATAAAAACCCTTTTCGCCATTTATAATTTAATACACTGCCACTTATCTGTTTTTCAGGTAGACATTTTCAATATTATATAATATACGGCCTCAATAAATTGATTAAATTTTTTACGGTTATAGTTTTGTAAAATTTTAGAGAAGAAAATGATAAGATCCCTGTGTATAGGGTTTGTGTATGAGTACAAATGCGTGAATATATATGTATATTTCAATATATTATTGATAATTCGTACGAATTATTAATGATTCTATATATTTATTGAATTTGTATAATAAAGATTTTCATAAAAATATTTCGAGTTCTATTAGATTTCTAAGACAAAAAATATAAGAATGATTGGAAATTGATAGAGAATGATATATGATTGGATTAACACAACAAAAACGGGAAAAAATGCAGTGTTGATTATTTCAATTCAGTGATATTGGTACGAATGATTTTATAAGAGTTATGTAATAGCTCTTATATGCATTTACAGGCAAGAGTTCTTGCATACAGTACTCATGTTATGTTTTGTTATTTAATATAGAAGCGTAAAACGTTTTATTAATTTTATTTTAACGAAATTTGAGCACGGTAAATTTGATAGTTTCCAATATATTACCAAATTGTTTTTGAAGTTGTACAACAGCTGTTATTACCAATAATAAACACATAATTAAATTTTATCGAGATAGTGCCTTGGCTAAAAAAAAATTTTTATACTCTAAATAACAAAGTTTGCTATATATGACTATTTAGCTCAATAAGAGAGTTAAAAAAGCTAATCTTTAATAAGATTATTTAAATAATTGCTAGAATTTACATAAAAATAAACTAAATTTGTCGAATTCCTAACTTTGTTGCCAATTATACCTTACAGTTTCAATAATACAATTAAATTGTTTTTGTAGTATATTGTAAATATAAGAATATTTTAAATTTTATTATATTTACTATTTAATATAAATATGTTGACATTATTTTATTTTAAATAATTTACTTATTTGTACTTATTATTTTAATCCTCTTATAGAATAAATTTTATTCGATTTTCGAGAAAAATATTTTTTAACTTCGCCTAAAAGCCTGCAATATTTATTATATTAAACACAAACTCCAATATTCAATTCTTTTTCTTCAATTATTTTTCAATTGAAAATATCATACTGATTTCTTATCCTTATTTCAAACATCCCACTCGAAGAACATATATATATATATATATATATTAATACATCATTATATAATTATATTTATACACTCATTTTATACAAAAATGTCAAAAAATTGTAAAATTTTCCTTTCCATCTTAAATAAATACTATAATGAAATTTAGAATTAAATTAAAAATCCTTTCATTAAAACCGCATATCTTTATATGACATTTTCCAAAAAAAAAAGCATAAATTTAATATAAGATCATAATGTGATATATATGTATAAGTATATGTATAGGTATAAGTATATGTATTGCCTGTTTATACAAGTGTATGTATTTACGATTACCAATGGAAAAATTTGTTAATATTAACTTAGAAAAATTTTCAATTTAAAAATTAAATTTTTTTTTTTTGATTTTGTACTATTAGAAAAATTTTAAGCAATATTTAAAAGTAAAGATCCCGAAAATTTTTGAAATGAAAAATTTATAAATTTTAAAATGATTTTATAATTATTAATAAATTAATTACTTTAGAGTTGATTATATTAGTGAAATTCTTTCACCTACGTCATCTTCTAATAAATTAGAAAAATATAACATATAACATATATTTCGTTAATCATATTAAGACTATTATAAATGCTCTTCCTACATGCTTTAAAATTCTGTGCACCGCAAACATTTTAATAAATTTCTTAATAAGACTGGATTCGAATTGATTTTTTTAATAAATTCTTAAATTCCTTACAATAGAGTTTTAACGTTAAGATTATAGAAATGAAATTTTTATTCAATTAATTTCAATTACAAGTAAATGCATCATGGTTGACTAATTGAAAATTATAGCTGAATAGCATCATAAATCGACCTCTTTGTATTTCAACCAAATTTAATTATAAAATTGATATCTAAAAATATCGTGATTATCTTAAAGGATCTTCCGATATCCCAAATATGTATATGTATATGTATTTCATAATAAAAATATAATTTCACTGTCCATTATCTTTAATATTATTATTTTTGCTGAAGTACTCATTCAATATTTTTATTAATTTACATCTTGTTTTTTTTTTTCATTTATAATTTTCGTTCCAAGTTAAAATATCATTAATATAAAAAGTAGATAATGTAAAATATATTATTACTGTATATTATAGTACATTTTCTACGTTATAATAATTTTTATTAAACTACATACATACACGTATACGTATAAGAATTTATTAAATATATCTTATGTATAATAATGATATATATTATATAAGTATGTACATATATACATATAAAATGATGGCAATTTTCCCTCTCCCATTTTTATTCTATTTGAGTTAAAATTCTTTTTTTCTTATTCTCTCTCTCTCTCTCATCTCATTTTATATAATTTTATTAAAATTTTACACTCACTTTACTTTTGCATCTGAGTAATAAACTATACATACAGTACGTAATATATTATAATACATGTATATACACATATAATAGTATATAATAATGGGTACATATTTACTAACTATGTACTATTTACATTAAAAGGAAAAAAACTTTAAGTAGGATGATATCCAGTCAGAGAGTTAAAAATAGGGAGTGGGAGAGAATGAAACGATTACAATATAAGAAAATTTAATAATTGCAATGTACACAATACATAATTATTTTCTGACTTATTTGAGAATGAATATTGTTATATACAATATATGTATGTATGTATTGTATTATTTTTTGTTTAATGTCTTGTGAATTGAAATTTGATGTTGTTGTTTTTTTTGTAAAACAACCTGTGGAATATAATGAAATTGTAATGTGCACTTGATTTCATATACAGAAAAACAACAAAAAACAAAAATTAAAAATTTTCCTAGGATACAAAATATACCAATATATAAGAATATATAAATGTGAATTTATTTTTTATGTATGTATGTATTTATATTAAAATATTCTATATAATATTATTGCCTATGTGGATGAGTGAATATAAGTATTTTAAAAGTATAACAGTTATTTTGTTTTCAGTCTGATTTTGATATTCGAGAGAGAAAATATTGAGAGAGAAGAGAATATTTTTAAAATATTCAAATATATAATGTAAAATAACAATAGTACTTTTGCTTCAATTCTATTTATAAGAGAAAATTAAGAAAAATAAGAAATTTGTATAACAGTTTAAATACTATTCCTGTCCTCCTGTGTTGTATATTTACATCAAGTCTAAGTATATTCACTTACTGGCATACATATATATGTATATATTTATATAATTATTTTCATATTTGTATATACAAAAAAATTTTGTATACTTATTCGAAAACATTCTAAATTTTTAAAGAAATTTTCTGAAATTCTCTCAAAAATTATGTAAGTATATAATGTATAAATAGTTTTTTACACTTCAATATATATCTACATATATATATATGTATATATTAAAATTTCCAATATACTATGTATATCTAGTTTAAAATTTCACAAAATAAGGTTAGTTATTGGGGTATACACAATAATTGTGTTATATTTTTGACCGTCAGTCTTAAATATTTTCTCAATTAGTTAACAACGAAAAAACTTTCAATAAAAAAATATAAAAATTCAAAAAATTTTCTTCCATCGAATTTTTTTATTTAATTTTTTTATTATTTCATTTGTTTTTTTTTTTTAGCAGCTACTTGTATGTACCATTTTAATTGTTAAATACACTTAGAACCAAAAAAAATTATTTATAATAAAATATTCAAAAAATTAAAAAAAAAACAACAATAAAATAAATTTTTTTTTGTTTTTCTTTTTCACTAATTTTGTTTTTCCCAAAAAAAAATTTTTTTTTTTTTGTTAATTTTATTTTTCCCAATTTTTTTCGTTTTTGGACATTGTGCGTATATATGTGTGATTTATGTATTTAAAAAGGTGAAAATTTGTGAAAAATAAATTAAATAACAAAAAAACAAAAAAAAAAATAAAAGAAGGAAAAACAAAAGTGAAAAAGAAAATTTGAATTTTTTTATTTTTTTATGTATTTTTGGTTACTAATTTGTAAAAGTTGAAAAATTAAAAAAAAAAAATAAATTCAATTTTTTTTTTTAAATAAAAAATTATTAAATATTATATATGTGTGTGTGTATGTACCGTATGCATTAACGGAAAAAAAAATTTTGTAAATAATAGGGTGGAGAATGACGACAAAAGATGTTTTTTTAAAAAAAATATAGAAAAAATAGAAAAAAAAACAAAAACAACAACAAAATAGGAAAAAAATAAAAGAAAAAAAATTGAAAATGTGAATTTTTCTCAAATATAGAGAAAAGGTTAAAAAAATTTATTCCAAAAGAACAAAAGAAAAAAATAACAAGAAAATTTTTATTAATCAAAAAAAAAAAGGGAAAACAAAAGAAAAAAAAAAGTTGACTAAATTTTTGGGTTTTTTCCGCTTTTTCCGTTTTTGCTGTACAGTTGATTTTTTCCTATTTGTTTTTTTATTATTCCTTACAAATTCAGAATAGAAACTATTCGAGCATGAAAAATTTTTTTGAAAAAAAAAAGGAGAGATAAGAGAAACGAAAACAATACAAAAACAATAAAAAAAAAACTATAAAGAAAAAAAAAGAGAAGAAAACAAATTTTCACGTATCCCAGGTAAAAACTGAAATACATACATATATATCTACATATATATTATTATATATATATATATATATACATATATTATATATTTTTCTGTTTTTGTAAAAATTTTTTGGTTATTTTTGTTATTTTTATATAAAATTTTTTTTTCTTAAAAAACTTGTGTGGTTTATCAAGTGAATCGAAAGTGTAAATCTGATTTCTTTTGAATTTGTATAATATAATTTATGTATATGTATATATGTATATGTATAAAAATCTTATTAAAATGGAAATATTCTAGTCTAATCTAATTATTTAAATATATATAATTTATTTATTTAATATTTTATTTGTATAATGGTTGTGTTTAATAAAATTGATTAGATCAATTAAGATAATCAACTATCTTAATATTATATACCTATGAATATACGAGTATATATACATTTTATGTAAAATTTTCTAATATCAAAATTTAAAAAAATTATTAATTAATTTTAATATTGTTAATTTTTATTAAATTTTGTATTTATGCATTGAATATAGTAATTGAGCTATTAAAGTGTTATATGGCTCAAAATATACATATATAGAACAATTTTGTTATCATAATTATATAAATTTTATTTAATAAATGCGTACTCTTCAAACTTATGTTGGCAAGGAAATATTAGTTGTCATATTATCATTTATGCAAAATTTCAATATTTTAATTTCAATAGTTCCTAAGATATATAACCGAACAAATATTTGAAGTAGCATGACAACTACCCGAACCATTGCCTCGTTTATATTCAATTTAAATAGCGTTGACAGCATTTACTATATTATAAATTATTTGTGAAAATTTGGTGAGCTTAGCTAAATTAGTTTTTGTGTTATCGTTGGCAGGGATGCACCATGTGTTAACTATGTCTTAAATTTGTTGTTTTTTTTAGTATAGTTAAATATACGTTCGTAATGGTAATAATAAAGCTTTTATATATATATATACATATATTTATTTTTAATTAAAATACCGAAAATGTTGTATATGAAATAGGAAAAGTAACCGACAATATGATTATATATATAATGAGATTAATTTACATTTTTGATAATCTTCAATTAATTTGATTTTTGGTGATTCTAAATTATATATATATGAATTGTAAATAAAAACGGAATTAGAATCAAATTTGAGTGCATCTAATTATAGTTTTTATAATTAAAGTATTGAGGGCAACAGTAAAACAAATTTAAATATTAAATTTTGATAATTCGTGAGGTTCTTATGCGATAATTATGCGATTATAGAAATTTTTATAATAAAGTTTTTAAATTGTAAATTTGTTATACTAATGCTAACCATAATAGACTCAATGTTAAGCAAATACAATTTCTCTCTTTGTTAGAGAGATGAAATGTAGATTTTGAGAAAGAATTGTAGATTTTAAGACAAACATTTTAAAAGTTACC